CCCTACCATCAAGGTCGATGGCGGTAGGGTATAACAGCCTATCGCCCGAGACCTTGGCAGGGAAGGGCGGGCCGTTAGAGCCGCTGACGTGGATAAGCTCCCTACCGCCAAGGTTCTGGACGGTAGGCAATTATACCTTACCATCATCGACCCCGGCGATAAAAAGTTTTGAACCAGAGTCACATCTGACTCGATTTTTTCAAAAGGATCAAAACACTGAATTCGGCCACCGGCGGTGGCTGTGGCCGGTCGTCAGGCTGGAATCATTTGCCTAATTCTTTTGCGCCAAAACGGCCTTCATGGGACGCCTCTAATGTCCGTTCCTGCACTAGTGATCGGACCACACGATAGCGTTGGAACCATTTTATCTTCTCGGCCGGCTCAACACTCCTTGCCTTGATTGGACACGCTTCTTATCGAGAGAGAAACATAGAATCACGTACCCATTTCCACTTGGCGTTTGGCGTATATACACAACATCAAGGGTCTTGGTCGATTCCTTGAGAATGCAGAGAGAAACAAAAAGAAATGTTCGATGGACAATAATAATATATGCCCATTTCCACTAAAGCGAATCTTTTTCTGGAGATAGAAATAGAATATTTGAATAAACTTTCGGCACTGGTATCGTCAGCATGCACAGCTTCATCAATCATTCATGTGCTATATAAAGGGCGGTGGTAGCGAGGGGCTGAGGCATTGCAAGCAAAGCAGCTAGCAAACGCACGTCGTAGCTCTAGCTTAACTAAGCTAACCCAGCCAGGTAGCCAGCCATGAACATGAACTACGGCTCCATGGGTCCTGGCGCGATGGTGCGGTGCAGGCAGTGCAGCTCGAGCATCACGGCGATGCCCGGCGCCCGCGCCGTGCAGTGCATGCAGTGCAGCTGCGTCACCCGCGTCAGCGGGCGTGGCCGGCAGCAGCACGGCTACGGCCAGGGTTACGGGAACGGCGGCGGGATGCTGATGCCGCCGATGCGTCCCACCCCGGCCTTCGGCGGCGGCCGCGGCAAGAAGCGCGCCGTGCTGATCGGGATCAAGTACACCAACCGGCGCTCCTGCGAGCTGCGGGGCCCCATCAACGACGTCAAGTGCATGCGCTACCTGCTCACCGAGCGCTTCGGCTTCCCCAACGACTGCGTCCTCATCCTCACCGGTTCGTAACAGACCAATCCAACATGTTTTCTTGTTTGTTTGAGTCAAACTAAATTCGTATATGCTCGTGCAGATGAGGAGAGGAACCCGTGCAGGCAGCCGACTAAGGACAACATCCGCATGGCGATGCACTGGCTGGTGCAGGGGTGCAGCTACGGCGACTCCCTGGTATTCCAGTTCTCCGGCCTGGGCGCGCAGGTCCCCGACGACGACGGCGACGAGCTGGACGGCATGGACGAGGCCCTCTGCCCCGTGGACTCGTTCCAGCAGGGCCCCATCCTGGACGACGAGATCAACGAGGCCATCGTCCGCCCGCTGGTGCACGGCGTCAAGCTCCACGCCATCGTCGACGCCTGCCACAGCGCCACCGTCCTCGACCTCCCCTACCAATGCACCGTGTCCAAGCAGTCAGTGTCTATCTCGTCAACTTTCTTAACGCCGATCCCATCCATGTTCGCATGCAGGCTGCGCCTACTTCGTACTCATTAGTCCTTACATATATGAACATGTTTTGATCAGGACCGGGCGCTGGAGGTGGAGGGACGAGCGCCCTATGACCGGCGCCTGCAAGGGCACCAGCGGAGGCCAGGCCGTGCTCATCAGTGGCAGCAGCAACGGAAAGAGCAACATGAGCGTGGTCAGTACTAGCATTGACAAGATTTTTTTCTCATCCATTCATCATGTCCCTTTCGTTCTCACACTTCTGCCACCGGTGTGTGCGTGCAGCTGCCTGAGCCCTACGCCACGATCGGCGCCATGACGCACAGCTTCATCCGAGCGGTGGAGTGCGAGCCGCGCACCACCTACGGCCGCCTGCTCACCTCCATGAGGGCCATCATGCGCGACAGCGGCGGCAACTGCAACCTGCAAGGCCCCATCGGCGGCTCCATCCGCAAGGTCGCAAACTTCAGCGGCGTGGAGGTGAGTCAGCTGCAGATGTTCTCGTTCGCTCTCATCGCTAGCTAATGATCGACACCATTTTGTTCACATACATATACTGAACTCTACATTTGGTCATTAACTTTGCAGGAGCCTCAGCTGTCCTCTGCCTACAAGTTTGACATCGAGCGCGAGCCGTTCTGCATGTAGAACCTGACCCGATCCGCGGGCTCGTCGTCGCTGCACCGCAGGCTACTGCAGTCGACGATTAATTACCACCGAATCATGCATCGACCGTACTGAATAATGGGCCGGTTAATTAACTATGATGCTTGCTACTAGTATGTGTGACGATGTATCACCTCACCTGTTGCCATGCCATCAAGAATGAGCACTGCATATAGCTCATACAAGGCTCTCGAGGACCTCGTTCTCCACTGTACTGTACTGTAAATCACTGTAACATGGCCGTTGTGTGTCGTGTCGTCCCCTTAAATAAATCAAGTTCTATGTATGCCGTTTGATCTCCGAAAGATATATGCAGTCTGAACTGGCATTGTGAACGGAATAAGCAAAATCATAAACATGTTTTGGTTCAATGGATGGCTGCAAAAAAATCGATCTCCTGTCCCCTCCGCCTCCGGCTGTCACTCCCAGCCGTGAGCCTTTGCGTACTACTCCCCTGTAAAGAAATATAAAAACGTTTTAGATTACTACTTTAATGATGTAAACGCTTTTATATTTTTTTACGGAGGGAGTATATTTTTGGGTCCAGGTGACGGTGCTCCGACAATGATGGTGGTGTCATCTCGAATAAAAGTCCTCCTACTCCAATCCGGTTTGA